GACTCTGGTAAAGAAGTTTTCAGGGATTGTCATGCTGTATGAAGTTCAATTAAAGCTGTAAACTTTGATTCTGTTGTGTATGTAGAATGCAATTTTCTAAGGCGGATTTCCAAGGGTTTTCTTTTTTTACCCTGCTCTGCAACAAAAAGAAAATATTAAAGGATAAGACAGCTTAAAATATATCTCTTCGACAAAATTGCAGCTGGAATTGGTTTACCCACAGTATTTCATTTATATAATGGTTTATTTAATGTTTATTTCTTTCCCTGTGCATATACATGATAATGTAAAATGTATTACACTGCTGTCTTAAGAAGGTGGCACAAGATGCGGGACTATATTTTTACTTATAAATCATATATAAATATATAATTATGTATATTCTATGTACATTCAGATATTTATAACCCTGTCTATAGCATCTGTTAATGTTGGCACCTTATGTTCTCACTTAAGCTGTCAAGGAAGAATTACTGAAATGTTATGAGCACCAGTGACTTTTACTGCGAGTCGGGGTCCTTTTCAAATATAATGTAACATAACAAGTAAACTTTCCAGAACCTTTATGGAGTAAAGTGCATGTGTTAAAGGGCCTTTACAGTGCAGTAAAGACACTAAGCAAAGCACTGCCATATAGTCACAAGTTTCTCGGCAGGTAGAACAAGAGAATAAAAGAGCAAGGGTGAAAGCAAAGTTAAGATGAAGAGAAAGGAAACAAGAAAGGTGCATGCATTGATTTTATATTCAACATTGTAGCACATCTTTGAAGTCTTAAAAATGTCTTTTTTCCCCTGAAATTCAAGATTCAGGTATTTTATTTGATTTTTTTTGAAGAGCTGACTCTGTACTCTGGCACTATGTACCAATTATTCACATTTGAACCTAGAAGAAGAATGTTTCCATTTGCAACTTGAAGTATACCTGTATGTTTGGTGGGGAGTGGAAGTTTTTCCAGTTGGAAAAAGAAATGAGAGTTTGGGGATAACTTTCTTGCAGTGAAATATCTCTTGTGATCTGCAACATGACAACCTACACTACGTTTAATCAGCTTCTAAGTGAATAACTAGCATAATACGACATCCAGTAACGGAACTGGCCCATTGTTTGGATTCAGGTGGGATCTTTTTCCGTTTTAAAATATAGGCCTCCTTCATGTAGCTTGACCTTTCTGCCCCAGGCTCAGCGAGGAGAGAGACAGCAGCCTGCCCCTATAGTTGCAGGTGATGCCCTCGGCAGTGAGAGCTCAGCAACCTTCCTCCTCCCAGCGTCAAGCAGCAAACCCAGCAGTTCCTTGATGAGGCCCACCAGCAGCCTCTAGGAGATCACCCCAGTCTGTTGGCGGAGGGGAGGAGAAACAAAGAGGGAATAAAAGTGAGAGAGAGAGGTGAAAATAACTCCAAAGTCAGAAAGGATAAGATGTAGAGAGGGAGAAGGAAAAGGAGGGCGAGCAGGAACATAGGTGAGAAAAAAACTGAGAGGTGCTATTTTTCTCTTTCCTCTCCCTGTACCTTTTCTCTCTCTCGCCTCCATTCCACTACTCTACCTCTCACATCTCTCTTCTTTAAGGGGAGACATTTAGCTTCTCCAGTAGAGCTATTGATGTGAATGGCCTTGCTCAGAGGAACCTCAGCAGTGCAATAGAGGGAGTTAGGGGTACTGCTTCCCAGCTTTATCATGGTGGTTCAGGGTCAACCATGTGTCCTATAAATTATATTTCTTTATATGAAACTTCTTTCTGGGTATGTTTAGGCACTCCCAGCACATGGTTAAGGTAAGAGATTTTATTCACATTTAACTAAAAGCACAACCTTTTACTAAAGTTATCCAAAGTGCTTTTGTTGCCTAAACCCTAACGCTGGTGTCCTGTGTTTTGTTCAGCCACTATCCACCCTGACACCCTCCCATCAACCTCTGTTTGGTACCAACAAAGCACTTTCATCACTCACAAAAATTTTTTCCAGTGAATAATATCCAGGCAGCATTAACGCTTACTTGGTATTCTTACCATAAATTTAACTAGGAAAAGAAATCAGTTGCTGGATCTCGAACCCCAGACTATACAGTTATAGGTCTGCATCTCTCCTGTCTTTCTCTCTTTCTCTCCTCTGCTGTATATTCCCTTCCTCCTCTTCTCTTCTCCTTAACTTCTGCTTTATCTTTCTCCTGCATGCAAGAAGTATTGCAATCTGATTGCCCAACCACCTTGGGAGATTGTTTGAGACTCATTCTAGCCAGATGTTGGAAAGGTGTAACTCCATCCGTCTCTCCAAGAAACATACGTAAGCTTTACTTCTTCCCAAGTGTAACTACAATAGGATCTAGTCTGTGGAAGGAGCCTCTACGGGGTCTGTTCCCTGTGATAATGGCAGCTAAAGTTACACTGAAATGAGAAATCCAGCTATTTCAAACATATATGATGAGACATTTTAGTTATTCTTTTGACATTTTTGACAACTTCCAAACAGCTCGAGGTATCATCCCACCAAACTGGAGAAAGGCTGATTTGCTGATCTGATGTAGCCCAGGAACAAAAAGACACAAAATTACATTTGTGATCAGGCCAACATGTGGCTTTTAAGCGAAAATATATTAAATCACATCTGCATTTTATCTAGATACGAGACACTTAAAATGTGAATCCACAGGCTTTGCTTTCATTATTTTAGCCATGTAATAATGTTTAGTATAGTTTCATGTGGCATTAGAAATAGTAGTAGTTTAAAGTAGCACTAGGTCCTAGTGTTGTGTTTTTTCGTTGTTTTTGTGTGCCTGTGTATATTTCCTCATATTGCGTCACCGCTGATCTCAGTACAGTCAGTGCAGCCTCTGGCTGTTCTCTTCAGTGTGGCGTCTGGGGAGAATCAATTCGTATGTGAATGTATAAAAAGAGTGTGTGTGTGTGTATGTGTGTGTGTGTTAGTGGGTCTGTAAACACCTTCTCTGGGAAGAAAAGAAGTTGTATTTCTTTCATGCATTCTCTCTTCTGTATGCTGCTGTTTGTTTACCTGGATCTTTAAGATAAACTTCCTTTTAATACCTGTCTCAGTCAAGATCGTGTTGAGTGTATTAAGTGTTTGTTTGGGTGTGTGTGGTGTGAATATAGATGTGATGATGAATATCTACAGTATGTACGGGTTGTATAGAGATGGGGCTTTTATTTGATCTGCAGGTTAAAACTATATGAGCTTGTGGATTTGATTTATTGTAAAACACAATCTAACCACGTGTAACATGAAAAACTGGACTGCATCTTAATTAACACCCTGCTCCCCTTAGTTACTGTTGCTACACCTGTCACGACTTCATTCTCAGCATGACACTAAGGTGAAGGTAGACAACAGCAGGCTTCTCATTTGATTGTTTGTACTGTCGGCATAAGCTCAGACACACAAACAAAGTTAATGTTAGACCAGACAAAGACACTGTTCATTTCATTCCCACAGTTTTACCCTTATGTTTGTGGTTTTGGAACAGCTTCAAAAATATACTCCACTCCACAGCTGAGTATAGCTCTTACTGGAGCACCATGCGCACTGTTTCAACCTGTGGAGATGCTGTGCCTAGTTACCGTCGCTAAGTTATGATTGGACAGCTGTTTTTCCAGGAGTGGTAAAGTAAAATTTCAATATAAATACAGTACTTGCTAATAGAACTTTACCATGAATTGATTACAATGAAACATTTCGATCATTTTCATCATGTAAAGAAACATTTTGTGCAGGGTAAATGGGTCAGTGTGTGTTTGTCCCTGACATGTGATAAGCAAGACACCACAGACTTGATTTTGATGATACTCCAAGGAGTCATGCATCATACCACTTTGGCATTTTCAAAATTACTGTGTTTGGCCCAGGGTGGGAGCAGCAATTACCTGGCAAACATTTTAATAACCAGTCATATCTCACATACTGCTGGGGGGAATAAAACGAAACTTGGAGCACATATCCAACCATCCAAGCTCTACAAATTTGTCTCCAGGGCCAACAGTTTGCAGCATATTGGATTTTCCCCTGTTTTGAGTTGCTTTAAAATCAGTTTGACCCCCCCCCCCCAGGCCCAAATTAATTTACTGATCACTGCAGGAGTCACTGCCTCATTTGTCCGTTCCTTCAAATATGGGGCACCACAAATGTAAAAATGAAAAGAGTAGAGAAGAATGCAAATAGACCCACACAACATATTTTATATTGTTACATAACAGACTTGAAACTGATTTGTTCCAGACATGGCACAAAAGGAACACTTTCCAGCTGCGTAAAAGGAAGAATATAATGAACTGCAGTTCACAGTAAACTCAGGAAATTGTCGCCCCTAAGGTTTGTGAGGTGTAGTTATCTGGCATCATTTCAACACAGTGGCACTACTACTTGACAGCAATGCTTTTAATCCTCTGTGGAGGTGCACTTAATGCTGCTATATGCAAGATTTTTATGTAAAAATACACCTGCCACCTAACCTTTTATGTTAATCACTGTGTGCGGCTGCAGCGTAGAAGAGCATCCTATTCTCACTGGGAACCTGTGTTCTGGTGTAGGGTATGATAGGCAGGTAATCTGCTCATCTTCTCTGCCAATAGGAAACAACAAACTGAAAGGTAGGAGCAAAATATGCAAGTCTCTAAAACAGCACTCTGCTCTAGTCTAGTGTTTCCTAACCTTCTTGGCTTGTGTTGTGACCCCTAATTACACAATTGATGGTGGATATTAGAATCATGCAGGTTATGGCTTTAGTGTAGATATAAGAGAGTTTTTTTATTCTTTCTCAGATAGTTTTATTTGAAGGATTTTAAGAGGCCTGAAGAGGCACAAACACCCTGTATAAGAAAATGTAATAATGTAGGATCAAGGACATAAAAACATATGACTCAGCACTATATACAACATGTTGTTCCTCACCATCGTAAGCAACAAATGGACATATTTACTGCTTGATGCATCTTATAAAAATTGCTTTGTTGTTACAATAAGTGTTTGCATGTACTGTATGTGTATGTTTTTCAGAATATCCCGGCGCTGCCGTGCGGTAAAGCCCTCTACTCCTACGAAGGAAAAGAACCAGGCGATCTCCAATTTTCCAAGGGTGACATCATCATCCTGCGACGCAAGGTGGATGACAACTGGTACCACGGCGAGCTCAACGGTTGCCATGGTTTCTTGCCTGCTAGTTACATCCAGTTGCTGCGTCCGCTAAGCCAAACTCCACCCCAGGGCAAAGCACTGTACGACTTTGAGGTCAAAGATAAAGACCAGGATAAAGACTGTCTGGCCTTCAGCAAGGTAACACACACACACACATGCTGAACACACACACTCTCCTGAGCACACTGTTTTTGTATCAGAATTTTATAAGGAATAAATTTAAATGAATTTACAGCGGCATAAATATCATAGTAGAAGAAAACATTTAATCTGTGATGTTAAACCGGGCTGGTTCTCTGTAGGACACTAATAATTTATCACTACGGACTCCACTCTTCAGATTGGTTCTCAGAATGTAAACCAGAGCAGGGTAAAAAGTACATGTTCGGCTTGTTGCCTTCCCAAAGGAACTGCAAGTTTCACCTTTTACTCCATATTTTGTCATTAAAATGGTGAATCCACAGCTAGAACAGACACAACAAATCTGTAGGCTGCTTTGTTTGACAAAGGTTGATGATTGATGTGTTATTTATTAGTACATTGTGAATTTTGTTACATAGACATGAGCT